ACTCTCGGATAGCGACCGGGTTTTTCCAGGTATAAGATGAGTTGATTATTGCTGTATATTGCCTGCATTTAAAAATCTTGAAATTCAATGCCGAGTTTGTTCATCAATTATGCACTCGGATTGTACGAGGTGCTAGCTAGCTTTGCTGCCTCATGTACTATTTTGATTCTGACGACGGTAACCAACTAGTAGGGTATTTCGAAATTCGGCGTCGTCTTCATTTCGGCTTCGCCAGCTATTTGGGTCCCTAACAACATTGTGTGATATATGAAGCAAGTGATTGTTTTATTATTTGATCGGAAGTTCGGAACAGTGAAAGGTATTAAAAAGCCACACCTGAAACGAAACCGAGTGTTACCCGACATAAAATTTATCTAGTCAGAATATTCTTGGAACCAGACTTGATACAAGCCGCACCTGCGACGCCTTTCGCGCGCTCACCGAAAGGTACCACAGTTGTGTTCAGGCCTTTACTTTCCCCCGAAGCCTCAGAGGGAACATTGTTCTAGTGGCTTCTATATTCCATCGAAATGTGTCACTGTTCTTTGATTCTCTAAGCCCCCCGAGCCACCCCCCCCCCCCCCCCCCCCCTTGGGTGCGCCACTGTATCCAACCGATTTCACATCCAATGAAACCGCTGGACATATTTAGTTTTGGAACAATCACTTTACAGATTTCAAATTATTTGAAGCCTGACATTAATTCAGTTCTCGCAGGGTAGAATGGCCCCCGTTCCCTATCAGACTCGATAATGCACCGACAGGAAGGACGTGTTAGGGGGCAAACAGTATCAAAATAAAATCCTGTTTTCACGAGGGTAGCAGTTTTTCGTTTGAATACTGCATAAAAGTTTAATATTAATTTTGAACAACTTGGCATACTGCACTTAGCTATGATTAACTATGAAATGTAAAACCATACAAAGTGGGATGACCAAGCCCCTCACAAAAACTCAATTGTCCCTAAAAGCAAACTTCAAATGACGTCCGGTATCGACGAGTTCAACTTCCAATGACATCGAGTACAAACTATAGCTATTAAAGTACAACCGATCGAACAAACGGGGTTCATATCGTGAACCTTATACGTAACGGCGTCGACTGCTGCAACATTACAGGTGCGTTCTCAACCATCACTCTTGGACAGTGTGCGCTGTGAAAAATTATCTATGGCGTGAACTGCAAAATTGTTGTTACCTAATACACCTGCATTTATTATCATTTGTTTGAAAAGTTTGAATTTTGAAATAGCCTCAATCAATTTACTTCCATTCAATTTTCTTAATCTACGTGGACAGCGATCCCTGCGGATGTGGATGTGATGATTTTACGGCCACTCAAATTTTAATGTATTCATTTTCTGTTTACTTTTTCATCCCGGATGCAACCGGCACGTTTTACACCTGCGCATATAAACTGTCTGTGTAATAACTCAAAATACAAAGCACACGCAAAGATAATATGACCATGCCTTACAACATCGTTCTCGGAGTCTATACACTTCATGAAGGTGATAAGCTTTGATACCGGTCGGGAACTCAACGGACACAGCCAGGTAAACTGTCGGGCATGAACAATTTCAAGGAAGGTCGGTTATTTGTGATGATTGCAGGTTTTCCAAGGAGTTTATTTATTAAAAGGACGCACACTCAGCAAAGTCCATTGTAGGAATTCATAGTCGATCCAAACATGAAGCACACATATTTCCAGCATCGGTAAAATTGTTATTTATTAATACAGGGCAGATTCAGGCATGCTAATTAATGGCCTATTTATGCGATTTTGGATAAACAAATACGTAACGACTTTTTGTTTTTGTGTCAGTATGTCTATGTCGAGTCGTTCCCTTAATTTTGAGAAAAAGATCTTCTTAATCTTCCAAAAACATTTTGCTCTCTGGTTTTGTCATATAGGCAGATGTGAACTAGCTAGATTGTTCGGTGGAGGGTTGGGGAGGGAGGGGTTCCCAACGAATTGATAAGGATGGGATATCTTTCCATAGCTCCAGTATGAAATCACGTATATGCCCTCCGTTTTAATACACCACAGACGCGCGCTGAAAGAAGGGAACCTTAATTATTCTAGGTATGAATTCGGGCGATTCACAATGCAGTGCGCCACCAAGAGTTTGCCAGGGAGAGTTCATTTTTACCAGTGCATTGTGGAGATGGTCGACAGAGTCGCAGCGCGGGACATTTGAAATTGTTAGTTTTTCCGGTCAGTGGTTTCGTAATTAGCGTATGATTCGAGGATCTGTTTGCCCATTTCTTTTCTTGTTATCAATATGGTGTTTTTTGTAAGGCGGCAGAACGCTATGCCCCATAGGCCCAATCGATGACATATTAGCTCAAGTTGTCTACCGACACTCATTCCGATGGGCCATGTTTTGTCGACCGTAAACTTGAAAAATGGACTCTCCGTGGCAAACTCTTGGTGGCGCACTGCATTGTGAATCGCCCGAATTGACAAAAGAATACATGTGATTAACACCCTCCTGTGACGTCACACTATTGTTTCTTCTCGCCATTATTTTGCGCGAATGGAGCACGGCGCGCCATTCAAATTCTGACGAATGGCTCAGGTGGTTGAAGCCACTTATGTGTAATTCATTTATCTAACAGAATCGAAGCAAAACACTTAGGTTTTCGTTCTCCTTTTCCCCCTTCAATTAAAAAAATCGGGTAATGGAACTATATATTTTAGTATGCTGCAAGGGTTAAATTGAGTTCATGCATTTATTGGTGCTACATTCAGACTATTTTTTTTTTTAAACAGGGCATTTGCTATTTGAAATCTGGGCCTCCGATGTCAAAAGCTATGCAGACCATAGTCAGATGATCTGCAGGAACGGAACTGGAGTCATTTTGCAATGATTAATCTATGTATTTTGTACATTACATGCAAATTAGCATCCGCCATGTATGTAAAATTTAACTTCAATCATATCTCCGCAGGAGTTTGTCCAATACAAGTTGGAAAAGTTCCACATGTAATTTATTATTTGAAGAAAACCTGGTTGTCTTTTTCGTGGTGGATGTTTAATTATAGCCCAAACACGAACCGGAACAACTCACCTGCATGGTTACAATGCACTATGTGAAACAATCCTGTAATCCGAGGCGATTATGTTAAGGATAACACTAGACTTGACTCAAGTCGGAATTGCTTTAAGTCGGTATATTAAAAAAAACAGTAGCAAAAATAGTAGTGTGTTGGGTCTCTATTGCACAAAAGAACTAAAACAATAGGGCCTAATTAACATAATACTAAAATACCCTTAATGGTTTATTGCACAATGGATATTAATGATTTTTGAACAATGAAGCCTTAAATGTTTATTGCACAAAGGGCATCCCTTAAATGTTAATTGCACAATGGCATCCCTTAAATGTTTATTGCACAATGGTATCCCTTAAATGATTATTGCACAATGGCCATCCCTTAAATGGTTATTGCACAATGGCTGTCCCTTAAATGTTTATTGCACAATGGCCATCCCTTAAATGTTTATTGCCCAATGGCTTTCCCTTAAATGATTATTGCACAATGGCTATCCCTTAAATGTTTATTGCACAATGGCTATCCCTTAAATGATTATAGCACAAAGCCTTACATCGTGTAGCTCAGAAGGATGATGGAAATATTAAACAATTTCGAGTCCGTAGTATACGATTAACTATGGCTTCACCAACGCAGCGTCAGCTCGGTCAATTAGCGGGAAATATTGTAAAGATGAGTCGTGATATGCCAGAGGATGGAAGTCAACGTCAGTGGGAAAAGTTGATGTTGAATCTTGGTTTAACGAAAGCCGACATGTTTCGATGTAGAGAGGAGAATCGATTTAGTGACTGGAGCCAAACTTTTTGCGCTCTCACTCAATGGAAACGACGTTACTATAAAGACGCCACGATCGATCGGCTTATTACCGCATGTCAACGTTGTGGTATTACACATAGCGCTTATGAATTTTTGCTAGAGTAAAACGAGATGAACGAGACTGTAGAGTATGCAAACACTACCCTGGGGAAAAAAAAAATAATACACAGACATGAAATTCCAATCTCTTTTTTTTTTTAGAATGTGTTAGTCCTGAAAAGGACCTATTAAACATAGTCCTGAAAAGGACTGATTGGGAGTGTACTCACATACGAAAATAGAAAGATGCAGATAGCTGGGGAAAAAAAACAGACGTGGAATTCCAATCTCTTCCTTGAAAATGTGCTGTCCTTAAAAGGACCGTTACGTTAGGAGAGAATTAACAATCACACTCTTCCGTTTCTTGATCTCGTTTAGCTCCATGTTCAACAACTTGAACGTCCGTAGACCGATCAGTGGATTTTCTTTTATTTCTCCTTCATATCATGTGTAGGCTCAGCAGAAATATGTAATGCCCCGTAATAGACAAGGAGGATGATTGGCCATCAGTTTTGTGACATCTTTACTGTAAAGACATTTAAATCCAACCCGAACAGGCACCCGTCCTGCAGTACATCTTCTTACATCCATAAGAGATCTTCTATATCATACCCAAAACTGGTATATCTTAAGTCGAGATCAGTCAGGATTCAAGTTCGTTATCTAATAATAGAAACTCCATGGTGTAAGTAATAGACGAGGGATGATGACTGCACCCGAGTGTATGTGGGTACGCCAGAGAGGATTCACACTCCTGATCAGAAACTCCCCCCCCCCTGTTTATTACCACAGCTTTGGCTCACTACCATACAATGTACTCTCTACCTGTACCTAAGTAAAGGATAATGCCCGAGGTACGCGCCATTCGTGGGTAAGAATGGCCCGAGGGCTAAGCCCGAGGGCCATTCTTACCCACGAATGGCGCGGTACCGAGCGGCATTATCCGACTTAAACTCCACCCGTGACGTCCCCCTATTGTTTCTAGCGCTCCATTATTTTGCACGAATGGAGCGACTTTGTTTCATACAAAGACACAAGCTTTGTCTTATTGCGTAACTGAAATGCATTAGTATAAATGGAATTGTACAGAATTGTACTGCGAATAGTATGTTAGCATATGTTCTTACGTAACCAATACAATGCTGGATTCTAGGCGCGCTTGGTATAAATGCTAAACCCCACCCAGGCAACATGCATTCGTTCTTGGATAGCGTGCTGATGACACGCAGTGTTTAGTCTCAAGACGTTGCGGACTGTTATGATAATGCCGTACGTGGGATACAGTGGAACTATAGCGTGCAGGGAACTGTCTTTGATACGGTGCTGATACTAACTCCATGATATATCGGATGATAATTTACTGGCCGCTTCAAACTTTGCCTGGAAGATATAAAAGACCATTTCGACACTCCACATGAATATGAAGATTGCATGTATGAGTATAAAGGTAAGAAGTACCCTTTTTGTCAAGTAGAAATAACAGCTGATAAGATCAGAAATTTAAATGTTGTTGTATTTTGAGCATGATAATGTCAGATACATTAAGCTTTATTCTTTAATTTGTTATCTGATAAAGTTCATTCAGACATCGTGGTTGCACTAAAACTGTTCTAATTCGAAGCTTTCTGTGTCGTCACTTTGCAATTGTCAAAGCTACCCTGTGGCTTTATGGCTTTGTAAAGACTTAATTGGATTTACAGAAATATGAACTTATGCTTTCGTCTAATTGTTTGACCCCAAAAACTAATTTTCTGATTTTTTTTCTTCTTTCTAAATTTGGCCACACAGACTGTGGATAGTGTCATGAAGAGGGTCAAAGCTAGCGCACAGTCTCCAGTCGGACTACTTCGTCTTCAGGATGTTGAGTTCTTGCCGATCAAGAATTTCTAGGACTGCATGCTAGGCATTGTCAAACACTGCGAACCTTGTCAAAACATTTGCTTCAACTGTGAAACATTTATATCGTTGAAACGTTTAAATTGTTACATGTAACATTACTATGTGCGAACATTCTGAACAAGAAAAAAATGTTTCTTGACTAATATCGCCTAAACACTGTAAGAAATTGTATAAGAAAATGCATGAAATTCTATTTGAGAAACGGTGTAGCATGCTGTATAAGAAACAAAAATGGTTCTTGACTTTCACGTAAAGGAACGAATGATGCCTAAATTCCATTTGAGAACCGGTGTAGCATGCTGTATAAAAAACAAAGAAAGTTCTTAACTTTCACGCAATCGTTCGAATGATGCATAAAATTACATTTGAAAAACGGTGTAGGACCTATGAGAAAATTCTGTATGAGAAAAAAATGGTTCTTGTAAACGTACGAAATGTATAAGAAAATGCATAAAATCATCATTGAAAAAACGGTGTAGTAAAGCTGCAACTGTGCAAGACTATAATTGTGTCATTTTTGGTGTTTCTTTATTTCCCGCTCCATTATTTTGTAGGAATAGAGTGATAGAGGCATTTATAACCTTCCAAAAGAATGGAGAGGTATCGCCTCCAACGCTCAATTCGTGCAAAATAATGGAGCGCTAGGACAATAGGGTGACGTCACGGGTGGAGTTTAAGCAACTTTAACGACTTGGTCAGCGTCCAGTCCGGCCATTGTACCTCGGAGATAATCCCTTCTCCTGTCCATCGCTACGGGCTATTAGGCTCTCTTGGTTGAATACAATCCAATTAACTCTGTAGCAGGACTGACAAACTGACCGATTTTGTGGGGTTATCGATCCAATGGATCCACACATCTCACTCGTTCATATGAGTATATGGGACTCTACATGTTTTGGATTTTACCGTATAATGGTAACTTGGAATTTCGCGATGTGCACTGTGAACAAAACTGCAAATGAAGTCGATCATACCCGCTTATGAAACAGTTGTCTATCTCACATCAGACCTACTTGTCAATAACTGCCCGCTTTATAATTTTAGACTTGTATTGTTAACATTGTAAACATGTTGTCTTTTGTACATGATATTAACCAGTTTACAATACACTCTCTAGTTTAAAGCTGAATTAATAGAACTCCTCTATTTATTATCGGCAAAATTCGGACGAGATTCCAATTTTTCTTAGAAGTCAAAATATATTCCGTGCAGCCATATTAACTTTACGAAAACAAGATTATTAACCTTAGGCCAAAAACAATAAGTCTCCGGTTTCTGGTATGCGCCGGCGCGCATCGCCGTAGCCATGCGCGTCGGCAAAATGAAAAAAAGTTTTATTTTCAATGAAAGATGATGTCTAGAAACTGCCAGACTCACTGGTTTGACTGGAATCCTGTTGCTGCACAATTGTAACGTGTTTTTAGATGGAGGTTATGTTCGACAATAAGCTTTATGTGGCCTCTCTGGAATCCCATATATTTACACTTAGTTTAGTCGGACACCATTTTGCAGTCATCAGCCGATATTTGAAGCAAAAAAAAAACAGGTAAAAATAAAAAAACGTGTCGCCGCACCACTTTTGGGGCAAACTCCATACCAGAAACCGGAGACCTTTTTTTGTCCTTAATGTACAATTACGCAAATGCGGCATTTTAGACCGTAAATGATACATGCATTACTGACAGGGCCATTCCAAACACTGATTCTGTACCTGACAGTAGGCTTTCCCAATTGTTAAACTGTAAGAAAAAGACAACACTAAAACTACAAAATAGGCCTTGAAAAAATATGTACATGATAACATTGTTGCTTTATTGACATGTTTTCTTTCTTAAACATTTTTGGGGTGTTTATCGATCCAATGGATTCACACATCTCACTAGTTCATATGATTATTGGCCTATGGGACTCTACATGTTTTGGATTAATCGTTACCGTTATATGGTAACTTGGAATTTTGCGGTGTGTACTGTGAACGAAACAGTGAATGAAGTCGGTCTCTATAGCGCCCATTGGGCCTAATACAATTGTCTATCTTACATTAGAGGCCTACAGTAACTGTAGTTGTCAAAAAAGAGATGTCCACTTTGTAATAACAGACCTGTATTTTACAAACGTTGTCTTTTGTACCTGACATATACCTGTTTACAATACGCTGTCTATTCAGCTATACAGAACTCCAATGTTAAAAATACAAGTCTAAAATTATAAAGCGGGCAGTTATTGACAAGTAGGTCTGATGTGAGATAGACAACTGTATCATAAGCGGGTATGATCGACTTCATTTACAGTTTTGTTCACAGTACACATCGCGAAATTCCAAGTTACCATTATACCGCATAATCCAAAACATGTAGAGTCCCATATACTCATATGAACGAGTGAGATGTGTGGATCCATTGGATCGATAACCACACAAAATCGGTCAGTTTGTCAGTCCCGCTACAGAGTTAATTGGATTGTATTCAACCAAGAGAGCCTAATAGCCCGTAGCGATGGACAGGAGAAGGGATTATCTCCGAGGTTCAATGGCCGGACTGGACGCTGACCAAGTCGTTAAAGTTGATTAGGTACAGGTAGAGAGTACATTGTATGGTAGTGAGCCAAAGCTGTGGTAATAAACAGGGGGGGGGGAGTTTCTGATCAGGAGTGTGAATCCTCTCTGGCGTACCCACATACACTCGGGTGCAGTCATCATCCCTCGTCTATTACTTACAACATGGAGTGTATATTATTAGATAACGAACTTGAATCCTGACTGATCTCGACTCAAGATATACCAGTTTTGGGTATGATATAGAAGATCTCTTATGGATGTAAGAAGATTCTGCAGGACGGGTGCCTGTTCGTGTTTATGGAAGATTTAAATGTCTTTACAGTAAAGATGTCACAAAACTGATGGCCAATCATCCTCCTTGTCTATTACGGAGCATTACATATTTCTGCTGAGCCTACACATGATATGAAGGAGAAATTGGAATTCCACGTCTGTTTTTTTTCCCCAGCTATCTGCATCTTTCTATTTTCGTATGTAGATACACTCCCAATCAGTCCTTTTCAGGACTATGTTTAATAGGTCCTTTTCAGGACTAACACATTCTCAAAAATAAAAGAGATTGGAATGTCATGTCTATGTATCATTTCCCCCCCCCCCCCAGGGTTGTGTTTGCATACTCTACAGTCTCGTTCATCTCGTTTTACTCTAGCAAAAAATCATAAGCGCTATGTGTAATACCACAACGTTGACATGCGGTAATAAACCGATCGATCGTGGCGTCTTTATAGTAACGTCGTTTCCATTGAGTGAGAGCGCAAAAAGTTTGGCTCCAGTCACTAAATCGATTCTCCTCTCTACATCGAAACATGTCGGCTTTCGTTAAACCAAGATTCAACATCAACTTTTCCCACTGACGTTGACTTCCATCCTCTGGCTGACGCTCCGTTGGTGAAGCCATAGTTAATCGTATACTACGGACTCGAAATTGTTTAATATTTCCATCATCCTTCTTCGCTACAAGATGTAAGGCTTTGTGCTATAATCATTTTAGGGATAGCCATTGTGTCATAAACATTTAAGGGATAGCCATTGTGCAATAATCATTTAAGGGAAAGCCATATTGTGCAATAAACATTTAAGGGAAGGCCATTGTGCAATAATCATTTAAGAGAAAGCCACTGTGCAATAATCGTTTAAGGGATGGCCATTGTGCAATAAACATTTAAGGGATGCCATTGTGCAATAAACATTTAAGGGAAAGCCATTGTTCAAAAATCATTAATATCCATTGCGCAATCAACCATTAAGGATATTTTAGTATTATGTTAATTATGCCCTATTGTTTTAGTTCTTTTAGTCTTTTACTATTTTTGCTACTTTTTTTTTAAGATACCGACTTAAGGCAATTCCGACTTGAGTCAAGTCTAGTGTTATCCTTAACATAATCGCTTCGGCTTACAGGATTGTTTCACACAGTGCATTGTAACCATGCAGGTGAGTTGTTCCGGTTCGTGTTTGGGCTATAATTAGACATCCACCACGAAAAAGACAACCAGGTTTTCTTCAAATAATAAATTACATGTGGAACTTTCCCAACTTGTATTGGACAAACTCCTGCGCAGATATGATTGAAGTTAAATTTTACATACATGGCGGATGCTAATCTGCATATTATGTACAAAATACATAGATTAATCATTGCAAAATGACTTTAATTATTTATTTTACCCCAAACATGGTCAAGTCACCTCGATTGACACGTTGGGATGAAATCCTTCAGAGATATATAGAAGACATATATTTGTACCTTATGGTGGAAGCTACTTGCATATTAAATGTTAAAAAAAAATGCTCAAGGGTGCTGAAGTTGCACCCGTCGGAATATTGATTTACAAGGTCCAAATGACAAGAAAATGCAAAAACATTTGTTTGTTGCATAAACAATAAAGTAAACATGTCTAGACTAAATTTCATAATTTATATTACGTATATTTTGTATACTATTCAAACTTCTGCTTGCATCATAAACTGCTCTTTTATTGAACAGCATGTGGCGAACATATTTTATTTTGCTTAGAACAATGGACACACAATGAGTTAAGCTTATCAAGTAAAATGGGTTTTTAGACATATGTGTGCAACTCCAGTTCCGTTCCTGCAGATCATCTGACTATGGTCTGCATAGCTTTTGACATCGGAGGCCAAGATTTCAAATAGCAAATGCCCTGTTTAAAAAAAAAAATAGTCTGAATGTAGCACCAATAAATGCATGAACTCAGTTTAACCCTTGCAGCATACTAAAATAATATATAGTTCGATTACCAGATTTGTGCCAATTTCAAGAGAGGAAAAACCTTTAAAAGGTTGGAACAATAGGTTACATCCAAAAAGTATCCTATAGGCTCAGTAAGTCGTAAAATTGTATATAACAAGTTGAAAACAAAAGAGGAAAAGTTGTGGTAGAATGAATCGGTTTCACAGAATAAAAAAATCCATCATAAAATAAGGTTCTTTAAACATCAAACTCATGTCACTCACGGACACGATGAGACCGAGCGCCTGTCACTGTACTGTGCGGGGCCAGAACTGCGATGACGCTGCTGGATTGGGCACCGCTAGAACACATAGTCACGTCTTCTCGAGCCCGTACTTCTGGAGCTATTTCAGCTAATTAGCCCTCATACTATATGAACCGATCTCTGCACACATATCTAATGTTGGTCCAGGACACTTCCAAAAAGGACTCAGCTTGTCAGCAGCTGACTTAACAACATGAATTATTAATCGAAACCGCACCCTTCTCTCTCGTGTCCGTCATCATGGACATCCGTGTTTCCTTCACCCTGCTATTTCTTTGAATTAGTTGACTGGAAAGGGACCAGACTACTTTCTTCCTACAGTCATTTCACAAAGCCAGTACTACATTTCATTTAAGGTTCAGTATAATAAGAATTGTGAGCACACAGATTCATTCTAAATTTGCACAATTCGTCTCGACGTGTATCA